CATATCTTGAATTTTAGGGACATTCTAACTACGTTCTCTAGGCTCCATCACTCAGTGAGTTGTTGCCCTGCCTCATATTTGTCATCAATCAACTGTATGAAATGTCAGATGACCCACATAGCCAGGTCTGGGGTGGGGCAAGTGCGTTAAATGTGTTAATAATTTTAACGCGTTATTTTTCACCGTAATTAATCAATCTAATTAACGCGTTACATTACCAGCCCTAATATATATATATATGCAACAATTATTTATTAGATTAATAAACAAGGTCAGGGATCATTTAGGTTTGCTGCTCCTATTTGCAGGACTCAACCAGCAGTGGAAATGTTCATACCGGTGAGTAAAATAGATTTAGTTTGCGTTTATTCTTTGAGAAGATACTGAGCAGGTTGTGTTGAATTGTAGGAGCTGTACCGCCGTGGCTACTTGAGGATCCTGATGAAGCCTTAAGCAGTGGACAGCAGGAAATGGGCCCCTCACTTCAGGAGTTCCTCAAACACAGTGTGTATTTCACTCTCATAATGATACTCTGTTATTGGCTTTTTAAAAACTTAAAGGGATAATTCACCCAAAAAGAAAATTCAATCATTTACTCAGTCTCACCCTCACATCGTTCCAGATCTGTATGACTTACTTTCTTCAGAAGAACATGTTATTTTAAAGAAAGTTGGTAAACGAGCAGTTTCAGTTCCCATTGACTTCCATTGTATTTCTGTCCATAAATTTAAATTGTAATTAAATACCATATAAAATAATACGAAATATAATTTCCAAGATGACAACTGTATTTTATTTTAAACAAAAGTAGTATTAACTTAATATTTTAATATTAAAACTTCTTTGTACATTAAACAGTCTTCCACAGTTGTTTCCTTCTATTATCTTTTTAGGTTTATCTTACCATTTTGATCTTACTATTTATGTATGTAAAGCAAGTTTAAGTAGTCAACCAGGTTGATGTTCATTGCAAGTTGTATTGCGTATAATAACTGTGTATGTTACAAATAAAGAATCTTGAATTACAGAAGAGCAAGAGAAGCTCAAGAAGCTTCCGCCCAACCGCGTGGGTGCAAACTTTGACCACGGCTCACATACTGATGCCAACTGGCTGCCATCTTTTGGACGTGTGTGGAATAGTGGCAGGCGCTGGCAGTCTAGGTGAGCTCTAACTACTGCACATTAGCAGGTTCATTCAGTACTTCTTGTTCTTACCGACACTCTTTTCACCCTCAGGCATCAGTTCAGAGAAGAGGAGGCAAAAACTAGGGGAAAGAGGAAGAGGGAAGATGATGGGAAAGCAACAAAGAAGCAAAAAGACCTCAGTAATGGAGACTTATGAAATGGATGCCCCAAATATACTGGCAGTATGGGAAAGGTGGTGTACATATTGGTTTTCTCATATTGAGAACTACTATTTAAAGGCAAAAACATGCTTTAATTTGACACCAGTTTTGAACATTTCTTGTTTCAGCTTGTGTATTTCCAAAACAGTCGTTATGAAGGATTTGTACAAGAAATGAACATCTCCATTTGTGTTTCCAGTTTATTTAATACATTTTGCTACAGATGTTGTGTAATTTCCTTTTTGGTCATAAATCCAAAACAAAATATTCTTCCCACTCTCCTCAAAAGGTAAATGTGATAAAATGAAGACATAATGTGCAATATTTTCTTTCCAATTTGAACAATACATCAGTTCAGTCAAATTTAATAGAATCTCGTCTATTAGAGCTATTTCATGTTCTCAACAGAAAGCCAAGACCATATTAATGTTCAATAATATAATAAAATACCTCAAATGTCTAGACAGGATAATAAAAATACAGATTACATTAATATTAAAGGATACCTTGCAGTCTTTTATTTTTCTTCTTTTTTTAGTAGTTTCTGTTAAAATAATACACGACTGAACGCTTTAGAGCACAAAAGAAGAAACAAAAAAATGTGTCTCTGTAAGAGATGCAGTGTTGGTCATAATTGTACAATACATTACATTTAAAATGGACCATTAAGGGTCTTCATCAAGTTCCTGCATTGAAGCTTCTTTCTATTTAACTTCATTCTCAAAACCAAGAAAATCCGAAAGACGGATCGGGCCGAGCTGCCTGAAACGTGTCGCATCAGCTCGACCCGACGACATTACGAAAGGTCCGCTTTTCCCGTGGCCGCAAGCCAGAGAAAACGCTTTCAGTAGCTTCATTAAATAGCGAATAATGTGGTTTATTAAGAGAGGAGGAATGAGGAGAGACACCACCACAATCATCAGCCCATCACCTTACTAGTATTTGCCTTCATCAGTCAGCAAACATTGCCAGTTCCTCTTTGAGACGTCTCATTTTAGGCTCATGTCATAGCTAATATTCTCCGCACATCTAACAACATGCTCTAGCGGTACAGGACTTCAATCAGAAGTTTTTCACCCCACTCACCACTGTTGTCAAACGTGGTTTCTACATCGTAAAATCACATATACCGTACGCCGTATCGAAACGGAAGTCAGGCATTCGGTTTATGTGAATATCTGTCTGCACTAACTGCTCGTCATTATTATGCTAATAAGGTCAAAGATCTGTGGAGCTACTTTAGTAAAGATCATGTGACCACTCATGCTGCACTGCCATTGGTTAATATTGACTCTAAAGTCAACAAACTTCATTAAGGAATGTCATGCAACCTGGGGAAGTTTTGTAGATCCACTCCAAGTTTACCCTCAAATCTTGTGGTTTTCTTTTCCATCCATCCTGGTTGATCAGGACCGCATGGGTTTGATAGTGACGGAGGTTTGCTGCTTTGTGTCTTCCGTCTTCTGAATGCAGATGGTGGAGTGAGAGGTGATGAAACATCCTTACATGGCAGTCTTTCTCAAAGTACCATGACCATGCTGAGGTGCAGATGGACAGAGATTTGGAGTGAGTGATTGGGGTCGTCCTGTACAGTGAGCGTGAACAGAAACTCCAGATCTCCTGTCCATTCTGTCCGTCTCTGTCCATGCATGAGCATTGTTTGAGGAGGAGCAGGGCTGGAGCAGCCCAGTGTCTCTGTGTCTCCTTCCGTCTCAATAAACAGACATGAAACTTTTATCTGAGAGAAGGATAAAAGAGAAAGAGAACTATGAATGAAAGCTCTTTTAGGGCAACACAACACCAAACCACAAAAGGTAGAATTAAAATTGCAGTACCTTTGTTTTCCTCTGTGTCAGTAGCTGTTTCCTCTGATAGCCTTTGGCGTAGCTGATTATACTTGATCTCTGTATCCTGCAAAACAGATTTGAGTATTAGTGTTTTTTTGTGTGTGTGTGTAAACAGATATGAAGTACTTGAACCAAATAGACATACTTTTGTTTTTAAGATAGATGGACACTAAAGTCACTTTAAAAAGGTATGAATGTTCTCGCATTAAATACATTTTTTTTTTAAACCTTTTAATTCTAATTTTAATTTAATTTATATTTTAGGAAAGGGGGCCCTTGCAAGGGATATATTTATATTGGGGATATAATGATACTATGTGATGATTTTATATAAAAAGTTATAAACAATTGGCTTTTATTTGGCTTCTAACAGTCAAAAGTATTAAAATATTTTCTGGACAATATTTACAGTAATTACAGCATATATTTTTTTCTACAGAATATTTTTTTGTTCCTCTTATAAGAATATTTTAAAAAATTATCTCAAAATAACAGTCTCGGCAAGTATTCTCGTAAACACAGTCGGTTATGTCTTAAGTGAACGTAAACAGTGGTGAAAGAAATCTCAAGTGCATCATTATATTGGATTTGTGTGTTCGGTCTTAAAGGGGCAGCAGCCTATAAACACCTGCTGTTCCATAAGTGCCACCTGCTGTCAGAGAGTGACATTTGCGTCTCGTTCACAAAGCTAAAATCCGTTGCACCCCTACTCTCTTGACTTGTTATTTGAAGAAAAAAAGCAATCACTGAAGTTTATAATCCGGCTGAACTTCACTGCGGACAAATCAGCATGTCTTTTTTTTTTTCCCGGGATACTTAAATTCATTTTGGGCTACCAAAATCTGAAGAATGTCTGCCCGAAGGGCTACCAGCGATTTTGAAATTTTGCGAGCCCTGAATCATATAACATAATTCATGATATATAATTCAACAAAACTAATGCATTATATACATTCAAATACTTTTTGGTCATTGTATATTTGTCTATCTGTGACCATTTTTTTTAGGGACAAACACATAGACTGTATAAAAACATGGACGTAGTGTCCGTGACGTAACCCGTAGACTTCCGACGAGCGTTTTGAAGCCTAAAGTAGGCGGAGCCAGCCCGGACAAACGTCACCTTCAGATGCTGCAGGTTGGCCTGTAGTAGACGTATGTGTGTCATGATCCGTCTGTTGAGGTTTGGTCCTCCGCTGCTCTGAGAGGAGGAAGAGAGGAGCTTCTTCAAGTCAATGCCTGAGTCTCCCCCGGCCACTGGCTCCCCGCTGCTGCCCTGCACGTCATCATCTGTGCTGCTCTCGCCTGAGCCGCCATACACCTCCAAAACCATGTAACTGCCTGCTGAGACTGACAGAAAACAAGAGGAAGGGTTACAGGATGCAGCTAGATTGAGGTGTAAATGTAGTGTAAAAGTAGGCTTCATCCAAATACGCATACTTCCCTAATATAAAGTAGGCAAAAGTAGGCCATATTTTCCAGAATATATATTTTTTAAATATTCTGAAACGTATTGTGACATTCCAAAGCAACTTATTTAATGCAATTAACGTCCAGCATGCAAAACATGCACAAAAGCACACATTTGTGGCACATGAGCACTAGATTATTTGTAAAGCACACTTCCCACATGCTGCCAGTTTCAGTTTCTTCATTTTATTTACCAGTATTTTACATTACTTCTTAATGTAATAATAAAATGTGACTTACACACTAATGCAACTTATCTATGTTTTTTTCTCTCAACAATGCAATTTTGACCCTGTGCGACTTACAATCAGGTACCACTTATTTTATGGTATGTGTAAAGAGAAGTGTGTCCAAATTCACAGTCTTCATACAATAGTGGGCAAAAAGTACCCGGATAACCTACTACCACTGGCGAGACTCTACAGTGTGCATCCAATGGACACTTTTCTATCCCATGAGGCCACCGGAGAGAATTTGTGAATGGCAGTGAAGCGATAGCTGATGCTGGTAAATCACATGACTCGAATGGACAAATGTTGTATGTCCAGATTACATTCATACTACAAACATCTGTACTACGCAATTAAAGGGGTCCTATTATGCTCTTTTACAAAGTCTTGATTTTGTAATTCAAAAGAAGTACCTACTGACTCCTTACATGATGGTTGTCCCAGGCAAGCAATGTCCTACACAGCTGTGCTATTTTCAGGTCTCTCGTTTTACTCTGTGGCCTTTCTTTTCATCTTATCAAATCAATATTTCATGCCCATTTACCTATTAATTTACTCACCCCCATGTCATCCAAGATGTTCATGTCTTTCTGTCTTCAGTCGCAAAGAAATTAAGGTTTTTGAGGCAAACATTCCAGGATTTTTCTCCATATAATGGACTTCAATGGAGATCAACGGGCTGAAGGTCCAAACTGCAGTTTCAATGCAGCTTCAAAGGACTCTACACGATCCCAGCCGACGAATAGGGGTCTTATCGATCGAAACGATCGGTTGTTTTCTAAAAAAAACAACAAAATAAATGTATATACTTTTTGAACCACAAATGCACGTCTTTCACTAGCACTGCGATGCTCGTCCGCAAATTCACGCATTACGTAATCACGTTGGAAAGGTCACACACGGTTAGTTCTTCATCTGTGTACTCCGGTTCAGAAAGTTAGGCTAGGGCGAAAAACTCCATCTCATTTTCTCCTCCAACTTCAAAATCATCCAACATCGTTGTTTTACCTTTTTTTGCAAAGGGCATTTGACTTTCTTTGCACGTTTGCTTTGTGAACACTGGGTCGGTACTTCCGCCTACGTCACGCGTGACCTTTCCAACATGACTATGTAATGCGTGAAGCCGAGCTAGTGCAAGACGAGCATTTGTGGTAAAAAAAAGTATATCAATTTTTATTTCGTGTAGAGCCATTTGAAGCTGCATTGAAACTGCAATTTGGACCTTCAGCCCGTTGGGTCTCATTGAAGTCCATTATATGGAGAAAAATCCTGGAATGTTTTCCTCAAAAACCTGAATTTCTTTGTGACTTAAGAAAGAAAGACATGAACATCTTAGATGACATGGGGGTGAGTAAATTATCAGGAAATTATTTTTGTAAATGATTTAAAATCAGTTTATTCTGGAAGTGAACTAATCTCTTCATTTGTAACAGTCTTAACATAGTATTAAGTGGGATAATGTGCAGTCAGC